GGGATTTCGTGGAGGAAAAAAGGGGGGGGGGAGGGGGGGAGGTTTGGTGGCGCTCGATTGGCAAGGGGCATACGATAGGGGATCGGAAAGCTTTGAAAGCCATCCTCAGGGGTCAGGGGTTTGGGGAAGAAATAGTGGGTTGGTTGAGGCGTTGTATGGAGGTTTGCAATGGCGAGGGTACAGATTAATGGTCGATTGGGTGGGAAGATTGTAATGGGTAGGGGCCCTTGGGGCAGGGGTCCTAGTCAAAATTGTTTGCGTGCATACAGGCCCCCCTTTTTTTAGATTGGTTTGTAGCAGCGTATGTGTCCGTAGAGGGACCAGGGTTGGGGTTGAGAGGGTTTGGCCAGTTTTAATTGGGTATGTGGATGATACAACTGTTCTGATCAGGAGGGAATGTCAATGGACACATTAGATGGGGTAGTATGAATGTTCGACAGGGGCAACTGGTATGAGGGTAAATTCAGATAAATCCATGGTCATGGGGTTAGGAGCTTGGGCAGGAAGAGTTGATTGGGGTAGTGCAGTTGTGAGGAGGCAGGTGAATTTTTAAAAATTTGCGGTCTTATTTTGCAGACGATCTAACTGTGGCACACATGGAAAACTCGATTAGGATGGTAGAAAGGATTCAGGGACGCTTGGGTGCATTGCGACCTTATCATTTAACCCTTGTGCAGCGTGCCATTGTTATTAATATCTTACTGTATACCAAAGTATGGCACGTGGGCAGCCGTTTTTTCCCCTTAACTGGGCCAGCAATAACGAACATACTTAGGAAGGTTTTTAAATTCTTGTGGGATTCGAGCTGTGATTGGATTAAAAGGGACGTGGTAATGTTACCTGTAAGTCAGGGGGGGTTGGGATTGCTGGACTTAAAGAGGAGGGTCAAATGTGTCTTCATTAAAAGGGAGGTGATGAGGGAAAGTGTAGGCGGGGGGGGGGGGGTTTGGCTAGGATCCATAACAGATTGCAACGGATGTATACAGGAGTTGAGTTGCATGAGTGAAACTGTGTTGAGGGCTCTGGCGTGGGATCGAGAGCCAGCAAAGGTTAAAATAGGTAGGTTGTGTAGATTGTTAGCCGGGAGGGTTGTAGTGCCTGTAGAGGGAATTTTCCCCATGTATGCATGGGAAAGTATATGGAATAGGTTGAGTAGGATGAGGTTGCAACCTCGTGTTCGGGATGTAATGTACTGTTTTCTGCACGGCATTTTACCGTCGGGTGTGGTTCTATGGGATAGACGAGTCGTTGCGGGACGTGTGGTGGGGAGGAGTCGGCTTTTCATGTAGTATATTTTTGTGACGGACTGAGGAGTGTCAAGGGGTGGTTAAATAGGGTGATAAATAGGATAGGAGGTCAAGGAATTTCTGTATTGAGAGCATTAAGTCTCGACGTGGGGGATTGGGAGGAAAGTGTAATCAGAGCTGTGGGGTACATTATGGCAGATTATATATATATAGTCTGGGGATTGCGGGGGAAACGGGTTAGTGAGGTGAAGAGGAGGTGTTAGCGGTAACGTTCTATAAAACGGTATGTAGAAATAAGGAAATTTATGGGAGGAAAGGGGGGTGAGGGATTTTTTTGAGGGATATAGGCAACTTACGTTACAGGGTTTTTATTAGACTTGTAATATACGAGGGAGGGGAGGGTACGATTGGAAAGTGTTGCTGGGGTAGGGAAGACATGGGTGAAAACAGGGTCGCCTCCCTGGTAATGGATGACAACAAATGTTTGCGTGTGTTGGATGAGTGATGCGTGAGTGAATAATGTATGGACCAAGGGTGTTAGCACCTGTGGAGCTGGCCAGTTTTTTGTCATGGACTATACACTATTCATATAGTACTCATGTTCCTTCAAGGTAGTAGTGAATGATGGATAGGGTACTCAAGGGGGGAAGAGTTGCCTACATCACTGTGCAGAGTGAGGGTAGGGCAGTATATTGATTGGAAGTGATGGACAGTTGCTTGTCCAGTGTGTTGTAGTATTATGTGTAGATAATACGCATATTATTGTATGTAGCAAGATGGGACTACACGCAAGTTGGACTTGGACTTGTACTATGAGAATTACTCTCTAACGCCTGATATGTGAAGGTTGATTGATCAACTGTGATCCATTCAAATTAGATTTATTATGGTGTTATCTATGTACATAGCAGTCTTAAGTCATATTATTATGTTGTTATCTATGTACATAGCAGTCTTAAGTCATATTATTATGTTGTTATCTATGTACATAACAGTCTTAAGTCATATTATTATGTTGTTATCTATGTACATAGTCTTAAGTCATATGATGCAAGTTGTGTTTAGGTGCAGTTGTCACAAAAATTTTGTTTTATGTGTGTTAGGGAAGTATGTGGAATTTTTTGTGTGTAGCCGCTACCTGGCTGGGGTTTATACTTTATACCTTTGTATTCTGTGATGTTTTTCATAATATAAAGTTTTATCTACATACTATGTTGCATGAATAGGGTTTACATGCTAAGATAAATGCACATAAGTTGCCTTTGGGAGTTGACATTCATTGTTGCAACCTTCTTAGAAAAATTAAACTTTTGGGGTTCCTTTCACCAGGTTGAGGTGTCATTGTGTTAAGTAATGACATGTATCCCATTTAATTGTTATTAATATTTTTGTGTCTAAGATGTTACTGCATCACTCACGATAATGTAATTCCTATGTATCCTTTAATGTTAAGTTAAGATGCAATCAGGTTGGTGATGGTTATATTTTGCGGGAGGGGGGAGAGGGGGGGGGGGTGAAATTGTGTCAAAAGTTTCAGCCTTCACAGGTATATAACTCTGGTATAACTGGGTGTATATGGTGTGTGGTATTAGGGCGTCACAACACTTTTGTCTGTTGTAATAATTTTTGTAAGGCTGAATTGGGAATTTGTGATTTAAGTCATTTTGTGTACCTTTTAATATAATTTCCACCTTGTATTGTAATGTTTTAAATAAAAAAAAAAAAAAAAAAAAACTCGTCTGAGTCTTCAGCTTCCAATTGTGACCCCTTGTTTCTGTGTCCCCTCTCTGGAACATCCTGTCTCTATACACCTTATCTATTCCACGCAGTATTTTGTATGTCGTTATCATGTCTCCCCTGATCCACCTGTCTTCCAGTGTCGTCAGGCTGATTTCCCTCAACCTTTCTTCGTAGGACATTCCCCTGAGCTCCGGAACTAACCTTGTCACAAACCTTTACAATTTCTCTAATTTCTTGACGTGCTTTATCAAGTGCGGGTTCCAAACAGGTGTTGCATACTCCAGTATGGGCCTGACCTACACGGTGTACAGTGTCTTGAACGATTCCTTACTAAGGTATCGGAATGCTGTTCTCAGGTTTGCCAGGCGCCCATATGCTGCAGCAGTTATCTGGTTGATGTTATACTCACCCCAAGATCTTTCTCCTTGAGCGAGGTTTGCAGTCTTTGGCTACCTAGCCTATACTCCGTCTGTGGTCTTCTGTGCCCTTCCCCGATCTTCATGACTTTGCAATGGGCGGGGTTAAATTCGAGAAGCCATTTGGTGGATCATGTGTCCAGTCTGTCCAGGTCTCTGTTCTTCATCTGATTTAATTCTCCTCATTAACTTCATATCATCTGCGAACAGGGACACTTCTGAGACTAACCTTTCCATCATGTCATTCAAATTTATCAAAAGTAGCACTGGTCCTAGGACCGACCCCTGTGGGACCCCGCTCGTTACAGGTGCCCACTGTGATACCTCATCACGTACCATGACTCGTTGTTGCCTCCCTGTCAGGTATTCTCTGATCTATTGCAGTGCCCTTCCTGTTATATGCGCCTGATCCTCTAGCTTCTACACTAACCTCTTGTGAGGAACTGTGTCAAAGGTCTTCTTGCAGTCCAAGAAGATGCAATCAGCCCACCCCTCTCTCTCGTGTCTTACTTCTGTTACTTTACCATAAAACTTCAGAACGTTTGTGACACAGGATTTGCCTTCCATGAATCCGTGCTGGTTGGCATTTATACTCTTGTTCCGTTCCAGGTGTTCCACCACTCTCCTCCTGATAATCTTCTCCATAACTTTGCATACTATACACGTCAGTGATACAGGTCTATAGTTTAGAGTTTAGTGCCTCTTTTCTGTCTCCTTTTTTTAAAAATGGGAACTACATTTGCCGTCTTCCTTACATCAGGTAGTTGCCCAGTTTCCAGGGATGTATTGAAGATTGTGGTAAGTGGCACACACAGCATATCCGTGTGTGTGTGTGTGTGTGTGTGTGTGTGTGTGTGTGTGTGTGTGTGTGTGTGTGTGTGTGTGTGTGTGTGTGTGTGTGTGTGTGTGTGTGTGTATGTGTGTGTGTGTGTGTGTGGAAAAAGTTTGAGCAGGCCTATTAACAAGATTTAATTAGCCCAATTGGCTAATTTGGCCAAACTTTGTTAAAGGCTAAATCCGATTAGGCCTTAAAAAGAATTATTATGGCTTTGTTAGCTAAAATCAAAGAATAACTTTACTAGGCATAAAAGTTGAAGAGTGTGGTTGATGGGGCGACCAGTCAACTGTAAACCTGAGAACTTTAAAATATAATTTTTCCTTGGTGCTGGTGAAGGGCTCCAGATCCAAGGGGTTGGGGTAACCCTCCTCTTGCCAGGATCAAACGTGATTACCCAGCACCCTTCCCCATCTACAAGCGCTATGTAAAAATTACGGGTTTATCGCTTCTCGCTGAATATAATAATGTCTTAATAAGAACTGAGAATGTCAAGGCCGCAACTCTTTATTAACCAATCTTTCAGAGTTTCAGAATGTGTTCCCGATATTGTGAATTATCATTATCATTGTTATACTGTAATTATCCAATTGTTGAGACATCGTCAACGCTACACTGTTATAATTAATATCTGTCAACAGATTTATTCCGGGTTTAAAACACTGCATACAATCTGCTATTTTATATATTTTTATTAATTAAAAAATGGGAGGAAGTCACAGTACGTATTTTGTAATTAATACTTCATCTTTCCTTGCACAGGTTGTGGGTATGTGTAGTGTTGGCTTGCCTCGTAGTGGGTGCTGGAGAGGGTAGTGAGATACAGCTGTACCCTGCACTCCCACGCATGTTGACCAACCCACTTGATCACCGCCCGAGTGTCCATGATTCTCATAGGCTCATCCTTCAAGTACAAAATCAGAATTTCGTTGATTCTCGACGGAAAAATCAAACCTCTACTGTCGAAGTGACTGCTAATCCTCAGAGGTCAACATCACTGAATTCTCGGTGGTCAAATCTTAATGGTCTAAAGTGGCAAAGAATATCTCTGTCAGAGAGGCTACCACTGCAGTCCACTGCGTCGATCAAAAGCCACGATCACCAAAAGGTGGTTTCATTCCCTTTCTTGGTGAAGACTGCTATTTCGACCCCACCTCATTATACCTGCTGGGTTTACACTCTCCCGAAGACGACAGCCATCTGAATGCCATCTACACGAGCGTCATGTCCATCATCAATACCACACAGGGTGCATCGGCCACTCCATTATCCATCGGCACGATCTCTGAAACCACAACTCATTTCTTCGACTAGGAGCTCCCGGGTAACAACAAAAGAGCCTAAACCAAATAAAAGCCACAGAAACAAATATAGGTCTCAACACCAGAGACTGGAAGCCTCAAAGAGAAAAGTACAGTTTTATTTCCTACCACCTGGACCTGCTGAGGACCTTAGTGTCTGCTGGTATGGAGTGGAAACCGCAGATGGACGGAGTGGAGCAAAGTAAAACGTTTCCACTTGCTGGCTTCTTCCCCATCCTCATGACACTGCTCAACTGCCTCCTCCTTGCCACCCACCATATCAACAATAACAACAACAAAAATAACAACAGTAACAGTATCAATATCAAGAACAATTACGCCGGTGGTGTCGGAGGCAGAAACAATGCGTTCTTCCTGCGGGAGTTTGATATCAGTGACTTAAAACAGCGAATGTAACAGCGAGCAAAGGACAATTTATTTAATGTCCATGTGTGTTCCCTGGTTCTGCTCCTTCCCAGGTATAATGTTACTATCCTCTACACTGTGATCAAGTCTTCCCTGGTTCTTGTCTTTCCCAGGGAGAAAATATCCTGTACACTGTTATGTCTCCCCTGGATTTGGTCCCTCCCAGGGAGAAAGTTAGTATCCTCTACGTTGTCTCCTGTGTCTTCGGTCTCTTCCAGGGAGAAAGTTAATATTTTTTTCATTGTGATAATATCTCCGCTGGTTAGTCTTGTTGCGTCGCCTGAACAACTAGTTAACTGTGCGTCTCACGCTCATCCCGTGAGCAGCACCACAGATAGATTGCACTGGATCTTATTACCACTAAAAAAAAAGTCATTACTGGGTTGTAGGTTCCTCAGATTTCTCTTCCTTTTTCTAGTCGATGCAACACTTGGGTATCTTTATTGTGGAAACGTTTTGCCAGTGAAGATGGAGTCTGATGTAATCAGTCCCCCAACCTGGAACACATCATCTCTAGACTGAAAGACGAGCACTGGTCGCCGTTGCCCAGCGGTGAGAGTAGCGACTCTCATTGTTGAGGTCCAGGTAATAAACCCTGGACATTAACATAACATAGACTGAAAGACTGATCACCTCAAACTACCTTTTCACATCTTATGCTGTTTTTTTTTTTTTTTTTTTTTTTAACCCTCAAGGAAGGTTCCTTGATGTTGGTGAGGGGCTCTTGATTTAGGGAATTGGATCTGTGCTCCAGTTCCCCGAATTAAGCCTGAATGCCTTCCACACCCCCCCCAGGCGCTGTATAATCCTCCGGGTTTAGCGCTTCCCCCTTGATTATAATAATAATAATATGCTGTTTTTCATTGTATTGGATTGATAATGCTTCTGGTTGGTGAACGTTTCCATAATAAAGACACCCAAGTGTTACGCAAATGTTTCATTCATCCGATGCAAAAGATGAATATAATATCAAGATATCAGATATCTTATAATTAACAATGAAGTGTTTTTATTTTTTTTTTTTTTTTTGCCATATCCTGTAGGCTGTTGGATCCCAGCCTTAGTATCTTGTAAAGAAAAAAAGGCACAATACTGTGACTGGAACAACACACAAATACGCACATGGGAGAGGGAATCTTACTTTGTGACTTGTAAATGAACCCCTGAATCAGGACATAAGCATCGCTTCTGACTTGCTCTTTGACATAAAGTAATTTTGTGTCATCTGCTAGGTCATTCCTCATATGCACAGGAGCCTTAAATACTGACCAGAATTCCTCCAAGTTGTCTCCTGGATTAAATGTTGATAGACATAACTCTGGGAGTTTGGGAAAAGACCTGACATTTACATTAATAGTCTGGTCAACTAAAGTATTTACACATTTTAATTTATTTAATACCTCACTTCTCCATGATAGTATTTTCTCTTCCAATTCGTAATATTGATTAATTAATTATTCCCTTTCATTATCATCTGCACAATTCACCAGCAGATCTCCTTTATATTCTGTGTAATACAATTTATATGACACATTCCTCTTCTCTAATGAATCCAAATATAATTCTAAATTAATCTTATTCATAGTTTCTTCTGCCACCAATTCCAGGCATTTATTACAAGCTCTGGTCACATGGACCTTCCATCAGCATTAATTACATTACCTACACATTCTCTGCTCAGACGTTGTGCTGAGCGGTTGTCAGCTGCTTCTCCTCAGTCCCGACACCTGGTGGAGGAGTTTTTACAACATCAACAACAATGGCGACTGCGTTTCGCCGACGTGTTAATACTGTTTGTATTCAACTAACGCAGGGCTCTATCACCAGCGAATCAGTAAATGTGTTAATGCAAGCAATCATTCGTGATACATATGGCATTCAACGTGAATCCTTGTGTGGCGTCGCCTTGAATGGAACTTCACGGATCTTCGTCAAGTTTTGTGACACTCAGATTTACGAGAAGATTGTGACCCAGTACCAGGATATAAGTAAGCAAGTCACCCCAGCAGTTTCTGTCCAATTGCATGACGTTTCACGATACTATACGTGGGTACGTGTGTGAAATGTGCCTTTTGAAGCCAATGAAGTTGATATACGTGACGTTTTTGAACGTTATGGGAAGATCCACCTGGTCACCATGGGTAGGTGGTCTGACGGCCACTATGCTGGTCTTCAGGAGGGGTCATTTACGTTGAAAATGTCCCTGCGTCAGCCGATTCCTTCGTATGTACAACTGGAGGATTTTCGTTCCCAGGTGTACGTTACGTATCCTGAACAGAGAAGAACTTGCCGCCTCTGCGGCGCTTTAGATCACATAGCGGCTCAGTGTGTTCAGTGCCAGCCGCCATCGGGGCGTGGTCGTCGTCCTGACGGTGAGGTACCCCATCAGGCTCTGGAAGAGGAGGTTGTCGAGAACTCGCCGCGTCTTACATCATGGAGTGCTGAGGTTGATCGGGCCTTGCTACTAGAGTCATCTTGTGTGACTCTACCTGGGACTGCCTCCTTGACGAGGTGGAACATGTGAACAGTGAAATCCCGCTAGCAAGAGAGGCTGGTGATATGGAGGCCGACATTGTATCTGCGTTAAGTGACCTATTAGCATCGCATGAGTCTGATTCTGTGCCGTGTTCTGATGAGGGGAGATTACATGCAGATGATGCTGATCAGATAGCTAAAGTGAGAGATTTGGAGAGTTCGAGATTTCATACTGTTGAGGCAGAAATTCACAAGGAGAACACTCCAAGTACTGACATGTCTGAAGATGCTGTTTCTAGGAAGCGTGCGGCTACCCCGTCTGACTCCGATGATGTCTTGACCCCTGGACAACGTTCAGGGAAGAAGACGTGGTCGGAAATCACGGGTGGAGGGAGGTCGCGTGAGTCCAGGACAGCAGTTAATATCACGGGGATTGCCAAAGGTGCGGGAAGTGCCTTGGGTGCTTGCCGGCACAAAGAGAAGAAGGGAGTGGTATCCCCTAGAGGAAAGCCACCTTTAACACAGTTAGGTGTGTAACTATTAATGTTAATGGTTTGAAATCTGTCAGAAAGTGTGTGCAGGTGCGTGAGTGGTTGAATCGTTTTGCAGTGGATGTGTGTTTTTTGCAAGAACATAACCATAAGGTAGGAAGTTTGAGATGGATGGTTATCACATTTATGTGACTCACTCCAGACGTCTGAAAGGTGGAGTGGCTGTGTTGATAAAAGCGACCAGCCCGTTTGTGTTGAGACATTGGGAGGAAGGGGGGGAGGGTCGCGTGGTGCGAGTCGTGGGGGATTGGGGTAGTAGACGGGTTGGTTTTGTAGGGGTATATGGGCCGGCTGAACATGATGTTAATATTAAAAATACTTTAGTTAGAGATATCTTGGTATATTATTTGAGATCCCTGCCAGAAATTACAGTGGTCGGTGGTGACTGGAACTGTGTGGTGCGCCGTAAAGACGTTAAACCAAGGGGGGGCAGGTTTCTGTTCACTTGTTTTGGGTGACTTGTTGTCTGGGTTGGGGTTGGTAGATGTACGCAGAGGACGTGACTTGGGGATTGAGCATACTTTTCTGCATAGGGGCTATGCGGCATGTTTAGATAGGGTGTATGTGTCTCGGCGGGTGGTCGTAATCAATGTGCGTGTATTGAATGTCTTTTTCTCCGACCACCGGGGAGTTTTTGTAGAGCTCGACTGGGGAGGTCTCCCGCATCGTTTTAAGGGATACTGGAAACTGAATACGCGGATGCTACAAAGTGTGGATGATAGGGAACTATTTGCGGACTTCTGGGCGTCTATGGGAGTAGACTCCTGGGAGGGGTGGGATTTAGTACGACAGTGGGATGAGGTTGTGAAGCCTCGAATTAAAAATTTTTATGTGCATCGGTGTAAGGAGGCCACTCGCTTGGAGTATGGTTTTCAGAGGTACCTGGAGGGTCATCTACGACAATGTTATGTGCAGGGAGAGGCATCTGGGGTTTACCCAGTGGATGAGATCGATGCTATTAAAGAACAAATCCAAGTATTGAAAAATAAGGTTTTCGATGGTGCGCGCATTTCGAGTGGGGTGGAGGAGGCTTTGTGGGGTGACAAGCCATCTGCTTGTGTCTTACAAAGTCAGACACAAAGGCGAAAAGCGACTGAAATTGTGAGTTTAGTAGTGCAGGATGAAGTTGACGGGTATAGTGAGGGACAGGTCTTAACAACAACTGAGGGGATAAGTTTTTATGTCGATACTTGGAGTAAGCTCCAGATGCAAAGTAAAGACGTGAGTGAGCATGCGATACAGGATTTGGGGATAGGAGTACGATGCTAGTTAAATGATTATGATCGCCTTCTCATGGGTGGGCCTATATCTGAGGCAGAGGTGTGGGAGGCACTACAAGGAATGAGTAAGGGGAAGGCTCCAGGCATTGATGGCATCCCTTGTGAATTTTATATCAAACATTGGGAGGTAATACGGACTTTTATGGTTCGTTTACTCAAATGCGATGAAGGAGGGGGGGGGGGTGTTAGGTCTGTCTCAGCGTACGGCAGTGTTGGTCTTAGGAAATGTGATGTGCCGTTAGCGAGTAAGGACTACCGTCCCATATCGTTGATGTGTAGTGACTATAAACTATATGCGAAAATATTGATGAATAGAATTAAGAAAGTGTTTGATAAGGTAATCCATAAGAGTCAGTTTGGTGTGCCAGGTAGGTCAATGTATGATGGTCATGGGAATATCAGGGAGTTTGTTGAGGAATGCGGGGTGAGGGGTGGGGGTGGTGTTTTGGATTTAGACTGGCAAGCCGCTTTTGATAGTGTGGAAAGGGAGGTTCTGTGGAAATTTATGAGATGGCAGGGTTTTGGAAATGAGGTCATCATGTGGGCCCGTTCGTTGTACAATGGAGCGGGTTTTAAAGTACAAATTAATGGCAAGTTGGGTGTTTTTGTATACTTGAGCAGGGGCATTCGTCAGGGATGCCCCATGTCTCAAATGTTTTTTGCATGTATGCAGGACCCGTTTTACTGGGCTGTTTGTGGGCGGGGAATAGAGACATCGTGGGGTCCGAGTAGTGGTCGATCAACCCTTGTGGGTTATGTAGATGATACTACTGTGTTATTACGTTCACAGGAGCAATTGGGTTTTGTTGGGAGACTTGTTGACATATTTGGCAAGGCTACGGGGATGTGTGTTAATAGAGAAAAATCGAAGATTATGGAGTTGGGGGAGTGGGTGGGGGATGGGGTGGATGCAGAGGGGTGGACTGTGGTTGATCGTATCACTATATGTGGTATTCATTATATGTGGGAGGTCGATCAGATGAGGGCGTGCAATTCGGGGAGGGTTGTACATAGTGTCTTGGGGCGCTTAAATAGTCTACGGCCGCGACATTTAACCTTGCATCAGAGG